TCGATTTGTCTGTCAACACCTACTTTTTAATAAAGGTCTCTCTGTAATGAAAGACTCTGAAATTAGGGACCACCTGCAATTAAAAACCGCTTCCAAATCAACAAATGTCTTTTATTTATATTATTATAATTGGAGACCAAAGCTGATAAAGACCAGCAAAACCCTAGTCTCGAAAGTGTTTTTTAATTGGAGGAGACATGTATTGTGATTTCAATTTCTTATGCCATAACTTTCTAGGTGAGCTGTGAACCTACTCAGAAATCCTCAAGGTAAACTGATTACATGAATATTAAGTGTCTATGCACAAAATGTAGGCACTGTAATATTATAGTTGAAAAGAAAAATAGTTTATCGAAATGTGCAATTGAAAGCAAAAAACTGTTCTTTCACAGGTTGGGGTTTGACCTTATCTTTGACTTTCATACTGCACTATGATTATAATTATAACCCTTAGCAAACGCTGATGTATTTATTTATTTTTATCTATTCATTCTATTTGGCTTTTTACATTTGTGAGCTGATATGACTTGATATATTCAAGAAAATACATCTAAAGTGATATTTTGACAAAAATTATGTTTCAATTTTCTGATAAGTTTAATATATTTCATAGTAGCAAAAGTTCCAAGTTGAGTTACCTAAGTTAATCATGTTTTTGAGGCACATTTTGTAAAGCTATTTTTCAAAATTGATAGGAAAACCAGCACAAAATGTATCTGCTGTTTATATTTAGATGCGATTTTCTCTTAAGTATGTTTTTAGAGATCTGAACTTTAAAATGATCTTACTCTGGTTTCACTCAACCTAGAAACATAATTTAAAGACAAAATAAAGCGTATATATTTCCATCTAGGCCTATCTAAATATATAAATAACTCATTTTTCATACCACAAGACTCATTTTGTCACGACAGCTCACATTTATTCATTCATTTAGGCCTACCTATTTTTTTTTCAGTTATTCAATATTCACTTAACCATTATTCATTTATATATAACTATTTACTTAATATTTATATTGTTATTATTTTGGTACTTGTGTCTCCCATGAACAGGCCCTGCTGAAAGGATGATGAATTGTTATCCATCGGGTAGCTCGTCTACGATATACAAGTACAAGACCACACACTGCCTGGATGGATGACAATTTAGTTGGACATTCCCTTGGACCCTTGGATAGCTCTTGTTTAGGATATACAACATACAAGTGCACAAGCTGCCTGGGTGGATGACAATTGAGTTTGACATGGACAAAGTATGACATAATACTGTATTGCAATTGCATGCGTAAAGGGAAGAACAGCCCGGATGACTGAAATAATAGTTTGGGAAAATAAGCAACAGTAGTTGCCTACCGCCCTCTATAAAATATAACACCAACATGCACAGTATCGAATACTATAATTAAATTACACACGTATAATAATACTGTAAGTACAAGGTCTGCCTTGTGACATTTAATAGATTTAATTAGCTAGAAAACAGACTAACTACACTTTTGTTTTATGTTGTTGATACAGGTAAAAATATCAATACAATAAACACGCAACAATATATGTAGTAATTATAAACAATAAAATGCATTAAAATTTTACTATCTAATTACGTAGCAACACATAGCCATATTTTAACTTTACAAATTTTTATCATTATATTTTTCAGTCACTATCTTTTTATCATGATTGTGATCATTCAAACGCCTACCTCGAAAAATGCGCCAAGGCGTTAATTTTTTTTTTCTTTAATAAACACCCCCTGAAATGTCTAAACAAAACTAATGGTAGCAACATATGTTCCACTTCAGTACAATTAAAATTACATTTCTTAACCTGGTTGGGATAAATAAGTCTTTATTATCACTGAATAACACATTTTGACAGTAATTATAATGTAAATGTAATGTGGTTCGATTTATATAGCACTTATAGTTTCAAAGCGCTCGAGGTGTGGACCAGCTCGCACAGTAGTTTTCTTCTCCCTTAAGGGTCTCTTCGTGTCTGAGCTACCAGTTATCTCTCATCTGTCCACAACAGGGGCCCTATATAAACCGGTACACCGAGGTAGCCCCTACTCGTCTCGAAAGATGTACTGGGTTCTTTATAATGCACACGAGCCATTGTGTACACTGGCAAGGGCAGATCCAGGATTTAAAGGTTCACAAAGTTTTAAAAAAAACACAAAATGAAAGGGGTCCGGGAAAATTTTGATTCCTAGATGGCTGAAAATCAGCTTTCCAGTCTTCTGAGGAGTTTTTTAATGACCTTTGCGTTCTTCAAAAGTCAAGGTTTTCCCCCTCTTGAAAAAGGTCAGGTAATTTTATCTCATTCTTTGGCCTATCATAGAGGAAAAAAATCAAAGACAGGCAATATATTATTATATTCCAACAACATTGAGTAGTTAGATATGTAGTCTTTCTTCCATGGATTGATGAACTGATAGGCCTGGAGAACGCACTTTCGTACATAAATTATTACGACGGCAAACCAAAAACAATGTGTATAATTAATTTAATTGAAAGCTAGTTGGGCTAAGCTTAGTTTGTCTGATCTTCCAAGCTACAGTATGCCTAGGTAGGTTAGCATGACTTTTGTAAGCCAGGACCCAGTTGTTTTGTTAGGTTTCTTCACAGAGGGGGCTCATCCGAATTCCTTGAACCCCCCTGGATCCGCCACTGACTGGGCCTACGGTTTATAGTCCAATATCCGAGAAGACTTGTTCCACCACCACAACCATGGGGAGTGTGTGTTGTTCGAACCAGCGCCGATATTATGGCCCTGCCTTAACCACTCGGCCATCCAACTCGACGTTTTAGTTTCACTTACAGTGAAATTAAGAGGCATTTAATTGAGTAAATACACGTATCCATTTTACACCAAAAAACAATCAACACCTGCCTTGGTTAAACTCCCCATCAAAAAACTTTCTAAACAATAAACATCCAGGGGCATTTATGAGAATAAATAAGGCAAGTAAATTTAACTATACTATACTATGCAATGAAAAGTGGGTCCAATGTCTCATTTTATGGAAAATAATTGATTATATTGAAATGAAAACCCTAAAAATGGAGGTTGGAAGATGTTACATATTAACAGCAAATTGTTATTTAATTTTCTACTACACTTGTTAAATGCAAACCTTTTAAAAGTCAATATAAATAGCACCACTTATGATTTAGCAATTTTTAAAGCCTAATCTTCACTATCAAGCTCAGAGTAAAGAAAATATTATCAATAAGGTTGTTTTAATCAGAAAAGTTCATTCCCAAGAAACTTGTGAAAAAAAAAATCTTACAAATTATTTGGGAGGGTATCGAACCAACAGCTTCGAGATAACAAGCCAGGTGTCTTAACCACTAGACCACAGAGTTTGCGCTTATAGTGACTAATGTTGAATCTGAGCCTCAAGTAGCATTGCAATGCTATTTAATGGTGTTTTGCTTCAGGAGATTAAATAGGAATGATGTTTTGCACTACCTGACAACATCAAATACATTCAAACTGTTACCAAATTTGTAGCCTACACGTTCTATATGTACAACATGTGCAGAATATGTGTAAAACATTGTGGCATATCTAGGGAGTGCACCCCCACCCTTTGCCATTGTTATCCTTTGAGTATTCAGTTTGGAATTTGGGTATTATTAAATTATTATTATGGGGTGGGGAGCTCAAGGCTGGCACTGTAAGCCACTCTATTTACCTTTGCTTAAAACACAAAATTGAAATGTCGGATTTAAATGAGTCTTTTGCCATTTCATAGTTCTCATTTTACAGTTGAACACTGTATAATAACTGTCTCTTATACACATCTAGATGTGTATAAGAGACAGACCCAGTTGTTTTGTTAGGTTTTTTCACAGAGGGGGGCTCATCCGAATTCCTTGAACCCCCTGGATCCGCCGCTGACTGGGCCTACGGTTTATAGTCCAATATCCGAGAAGACTTGTTCCACCACCACAACCATGGGGAGTGTGTGTTGTTCGAACCAGCGCCGATATTATGGCCCTGCCTTAACCACTCGGCCATCCAACTCGACGTTTTAGTTTCACTTACAGTGAAATTAAGAGGCATTTAATTGAGTAAATACACGTATCCATTTTACACCAAAAAACAATCAACACCTCCCTTGGTTAAACTCCCCATCGAAAAACCTTCTAAACAATAAACATCCAGGTGCATTTATGAGAATAAATAAGGCAAGTAAATTTAACTATACTATACTATGCAATGAAAAGTGGGTCCAATGTCTCATTTTATGGAAAATAAATGATTATATTGAAATGAAAACCCCAAAAATGAAGAAGTTGGAAGATGTTACATAACAGCAAATTTTTATTTAATTTTCTACTACACTTGTTAAATGCAAGCCTTTTAAAAGTCAATATAAATAGCACCACTAATGATTTAGCAATTTTTAAAGCCTAATCTTCACTATCAAGCTCAGAGTAAAGAAAATATTATCAATAAGGTTGTTTTAATCAGAAAAGCTCATTCCTAAGAAAACCCCAAGAAAAAAAAAATCTTACAAATTATTTAGGAGGGTATCGAACCAACAGCTTCGAGATAACAAGTCAGGTGTCTTAACCACTAGACCACAGAGTTTGCACTTATAGTGACTAATGTTGATTCTGAGCCTCAAGTAGCATTGCAATGCTATTTAATGGTGTTTTGCTTCGGCAGATTAAATAGGAATGGTGTTTTGCACTTCCTGACAACATCAAATACATTCAAACTGTTACCAAATTTGTAGCCTACACGTTCTATATGTACAACATGTGTAGAATATGTGTAAAACATGGTGGCATATCTAGGGAGTGCACCACCACCCCTTAAAACCTACCCCCACCTCAGTTGACCGCCCAGAGCCAAAAAAATCATGTGCAAGTAGATAAAAATCACCTCATATCACCATATTTCGCAAGCTATTGACACCTCACTTAATCATTGAGTTCCCCACTTCACCTTTGCTCCCCCTCCCCCCCCCCACCCACAATGCACCTCCCCACCCATTTTAAGCCTCCTAGATACACCACTGGTAACATATACTGTAGCATCACAGGACATATTGTAAGGTTAAATCACAGACATAGAAACATGAAAAATACCACAAACAGACAAAATACACAAGTTAACAATCCTACCATCCTGAGATATTACTAGAGAAAATCTTCATCACTCGCAAATTTCTCAGATACAGTAGAAATAGAAAATAACTGCACATTAACACATTCGCTACCAGGGATACAAGTTCATGTCCGACAAGGTTCACTCAGGACACCAAGGATTTGAGTTCACGTCCACCACTGTCCAACATACCACAATTGTATTGCATTTAACTTGCTGGGAGTGATCAACCAGAACACAAACACTTGACCTGGAGGTTAAGAGAAGAACTGGGAAATAAAAATAACTACTGTAGTATATATCTGTTTGTGTTTCACTACAGTTGATTGAAACGATTATCATTACGGCGGCGCCCTTTATGCCTTGGCGTATGGGATGAAACAAGGAAAAAGGCCGGCTTGGCAGTCAACATGTTAATCAGTTAAACAAACAGAAGACTACTGGCTGGATAACAAACGTAATTTGAGATGCTTAAAGCAATGGTATACAAAGCCGTAAAATATGTTGTCATAACAATTTCACCACAATGGATGCCGCTTGAACATTCCCTTCCACTGCAACCGCTCAGCTTCGCTCATTCTCTTGTTTAAAAACTTCATTTTTTCATTTATTTCTGTCACTTCCTACAAAAAAATATAAAAAATTAAAGATCTATCTTTAATAATTTTATTTTCATTTATTATTTCACATTATTTTTTATGGTACCATATTATGCCAACACAATGCTAAATGAAAAACAGTACTATGAAAAAAGAAGTAAAGTAATTATTTACAAGAAAAACCAAAATTATTTTGGTTTAATAATATGTCGTTCTTATATACCGCTTTATGCCTTTACAAGGCCTCTAAGCGCTTCACATTACTACCCCGGTCATTGGATCAAACATATGGAACACATTGAAACACCAAATTAAATTAGTAAATGAAATTATATTATCATTCCATAAATTGCAGCTAGTAATCAGCACAGGTTGTGTTGGAACCTACCAGGTACCCACTTGTACTCCTGGGTGGAGAGAGGCAACCATAGATAAAGTGTGCCCAAGGACACAAGCGATTTGCACAGCCAGAGTTTCGAACCCCCGACCTCAAGTTTGGGAGTCCAAGCCACAACCGGTGCGCCAACCGCTCCTACTTGACACTTGGTTAGCACATGGTTGTGGCTTGGACCTTGAGGTCAGAGGTTCAAATCTGGCAAGGCACTTTATCTATGTTCGTCTCTCTCTACCCAACAGTAAAAATGGTTACCTGGTAGGATGCTGTGGCAGTGAATGTACTATAATTTGTGCACTAAATTAGGTACTGACTAGGTACTCAGTTTAGTTCAGTTTCTCCACACTTAAAAATATACATTAAAGGGTAAAACAATGAAAAAGAAAAAGTGCAGAAGGAGGAATATATAACTATGAAACTTTAAGGCTAGGCCCCATGGTTAAAAAAAAAACAAAACAAAAAAAACAGGCAAATAAAAAAAAAATATACTGTACTTTCCTAGGGAGCATAGAATGTTGCACTTTGTTATGGTTTGCCATTGTTATCCTTTGAGTATTCAGTTTGGAATTTGGGTATTATTAAATTATTATTATGGGGTGGGGAGCTCAAGGCTGGCACTGTAAGCCACTCTATTTACCTTTGCTTAAAACACAAAATTGAAATGTCGGATTTAAATGAGTCTTTTGCCATTTCATAGTTCTCATTTTACAGTTGAACACTGTATAATAACTAAAAATCTATTTCTGCGACAAGTGACTGGTTTGGTTTGTCTTTGCCACATGTGGACAAAGAATTAGGGAAAATTAAAGTGATGCATGTGGTATTATAACAAGCCTAAACTATGTATGTCCTATTTATAAAAATTTACTTCTCATTGTGTTTATCTAAATACTGTAAATGCTTTTAAAACATAAATATTATAATATAATAGTTCAAATAAAATACTGTAAAACCTCAAATAGAAGCCCAGAGCCTTTTTTTTTTTTTTTTTGCTAACTTTGGAAGGGCTTCTTTTCGAGATGGGCTACTTTTCAAGGCTACTTTTGCAAAGTAAAGATGGGGGCTTCCTTTCAAAATGAATGCTGTAAATTTTGAAAATTACTACTATAAAACAATAAATAAGGCCACTGTAATATCAGAATCATGGAGTGTATTAACTGGCATTAAATCACCTACTACTGTATGTAAACCAAGCATGTTTTTAATGTTTTTTGAAAATTCATACATGTACAGGGCATATACTGTACTATCTCATGCTATCTGGAAAAGAAGCCCATGAGATTTAGGGTACTTTAGGGGCTTCATTCGAGATGGGCTTCTTCTCGAGATTAAGCCCACTGGGCTTTTATTTGAGGTTGTATGGTAGGCTGCTTACCTTATCAATCTTGTCTTGCCTTTTATTTCTTAATTCTGGTAAATAACATTCTAAAGCCTCAATCTAAACAAGATAAAATGCATGAAATATAAAAGACTTCCAGAATCCTGTTAAGTTCCCTGCTTTCAAAAATATGAAGGCAGGGATGTATTTATGGTGGGCGGGGCCACCCTGCCTTGGAGTTTTTCCACCCATTCAAAAGCTAATTTCATGGCCCTCCAGCCACCCATATTAACCCACTTTTATATCCTCAAAATCCACTCTTATTATTTTGAGTTTACCAATGTTACCACCCACCTTTAAAATGTCTATCATCCACCCTTAAGCTCTATTCACACTATCAAATTTTCTTTGACAAAAAAATCTGACATGCCCATATATGGTAATGCTATGCCTATATATGGTCATGGTGTGATGTCATCATGCCTATATATGGGCATATCACACTTTTTTGTCACACAAAATTTGATAGTGTAGACAGAGCTTTAGTTTTCTACAGCTACTGTACAAACCTGGAATGAACTAACGACACTTTTTGAAAGTGTCTGACAACAGAATTCTAATACCAGAATATGATTTGATAAAGTGGTATACAAATTTATATTGATTATTAAATCTCAGAGTGATTTCCAAGCAATCAATATAGGTGCATTTCACCTATAGTAAGACATTTTGCACTTCAATTTAAAAATATGAGTTAATCCCCTTTTACACTGCAGGTTAAACTCATTACCCAGATGCAAAACTTCCAAGCTGTGGTCAGTTTAAATGATGCTAGCGGGAATGCAAGAGACGCGCAATGTCAGCATGTGTACGGGCCAAAGCTAATCATCGTGGGAATGTTGTTAGGCCCTGTCCAGACTATCAAATTTTAACTGCCAAAAACATGTGACATGCCTAAGTATGGTCACGATGACATCACATCATGACCATATATAGGCATATTATGACTTTATTTGGGCATACAACAGTTTTTTGTCAAAGAAAATTTGATATAGTGTGGACAAGAGCTTTCTCTTATCCACATCTAGATGTGTATAAGAGACAGCAGGACACCAAGGCTTTGAGTTCACGTCCACCA